GATGGATAGTAATAGCAAGCGTCAAGCGATATTGGAAATACAGTTGCTGTACCATTCCAGCTACTATACCTGTAGCAGTTTCATTACAGTTAAACTTGCTAAGGAGGAATCAGGCAAGTGGGGTAAAACGGAAAGGATGATGACGGCATACCGGCTTGGAGTAGGGGAAGAAGAGGGGAAGAAGAACATAGGATTTGCATAGAGACAGAAGTTGATTGTATCACTGCAAGTATAGAGATTTTTTTTTATTCACTCTTGTTTCTCATCTTTTTTTTTTTCTCCTTATATCAACTACTAACAACAACGATAACACCAACAAAGGCAGCGACGATGCCGTATTGTACTACCAAAAGAATAAGACAAAAAGACAGAAATACAAAAATACATAAAGACAAATAAACGATGATCTTAATCTTGGACACCTGCTAAATAAGACATCGTTGAGTAACAAAGATTTCTGATTTTTATTTTTGAACTTCTTCCTTTCCAGCCAAAACAAAAAACGGCAAAAAATTGCTGTATTTTTGTTTTTTTTTTTTTCTTTTATTGTTTCTACGGGTTTGCTTCCATATTCATCCATCAACAAGTTTTATTATTTCCAAAAAAAAGGCGCTTCTATTTTTACTTAATGCTGCTGTTAAAGTTGTTCTTTTTTTTTCTCTTCCAGTAAGTATCAGCCAACATAAAATTGAAAATGTTTTTGTGTTTAAAATACTTCAGAAAATAAATGACACATAGAGCCAAAAGAAAATTTTATAAACAGTAATCTTGGATTTCTGATGAACCACCAACAACGCCACCATTGTAAAATAAACATCATTAACAGCAGCTTATTTACTGCCAATTTTGTCTCAACAAAAGAGTTTTAAATAAATCTTTGCATCTCGATTTGTTTCATCATTGCCATAGTTGTCCGTAAAAAAAAAAACAACAACAATAACAAATCAATTTTCTGGTTTGCATTGTCAATTTATAGAGAAAAATTTGAGAAGTTATAAATTACTAAAATTTAAGTTTTTTACTTCTAAAAATTTACCGGCAACAGCCGAAAAAAAAAAAAAATAAATAAATAAAAATTAGCTTACATTTAGTTCACTTAAAACCACCCGTTTTCCTTCCATACCCATTTTTCTCTTCGCGCTAAATTTCTTCTGTAACTAATTTATAATCTCTCAAAAAAGCTGAAAAATAGTAGACCAAAAAAAAACAAAGCAACAAATTACGAATTTTGCAAGCAGGTTTCTTTGTATTTTTGTTGCTTCCTCTTTTTTTTTTTTTTTTTTTTTTTTTTTTTTTTT